GTCTAGGAATTTCCTTGGAGCAATATTTGCCAAGGAGGGATCCCATGGCCACCATTGCAGTTGGCTTTCTTACAAGTTCTACCTCCTGACTAGGGTAACAGCACAGCCCATTCTATCTAATATAGTACCTAGATTTGTGGAAGATCTGATCCCAGACCCCAGCTAGCAACACTATCCAAACCACTCCAGCCTGGCAGAATGCCTTGAGTCTGTGCAGGTAGCCAGCATAGGACTGCCACTACTCATCACACCAATGCTATATTTAACTAAGGGAACCCTACAGTGCCTAAGTTAGCCCCCTGCCAACCTCAAATAAAAAGTAATAGTCTACACAAATGAGAAGAAACAAGAAAAATAATTCTGACCATATAGAAAAACAGAGTTCTTCAACACCCCCAAAAGACCACACTAACTCTTCAGCAATGGACCCTAGCCAAAATGAAATCTTTGAAATTCCAGAGATAGAATTCAAAATGAATATACACTTATTTGAAGAGATTGGAATATAGTTGAAAACCCACATAAAAACTATAAATACTATTCAGGACATAAGTGAAATATTTTACAAAGAGATAGACACTTTAGAAAAAAGCCAAGCTAAAGTTCTGCAAATTAAAGAATCATTTAGGGAAGTACAAAGTGCAGTGGAAAGTTCTAATGGCAAACTAGACAAATAGAAGAAAGGGTCTGAGAACTTGAAGACCAGGCTTTCAAATAAACCCAATCAGATTATAAAGAAAAACAATTGCGAATGGAATGAAGTTTCCAAGAAATGTGGGATTATGTAAAACATTCAAACCTCAGAATCATAGGTGTTCCTGAGGAAGAAGAGAAAACGACAAAATTGAAAAACTCTAATTGAGGAAAACTTTGCTGGCCTTGCCAGAGATCTAAAAATCCAGATGTGAGAAGCCCAAAGAACTCCCAGAAGATCCACTGCAAAAAGTTCATTTCCCCATAATTATCAGGTTTTGCAAAGTTAACATGAAGGAACAAAACTTTAAAGCAATGAGACAAAAGCATCAAATAACTTACAAAGGCAAACCTATCGGACTAACAGAAGACTTCTCAGAAAGAAAGCCTACAAGCCAGAAGGAATTAGGGTCCCATCCTCAATCTCCTGAAACAAAATAGCAATCAGCAAGGATTTTGTATTTTGCCAAAACTAAGTTTCATACATGAAGGAGAAATGAAGCCTTTTTCAGACAAACACTGAGGAAATTTGTCACCACTAGACTAGCTCTATAAGAAATGCTCAAAGGAATTGTAAATACTGAAACAAAAGGCCAAAGCACACCCATAGAAAAACACTGGAAATCGTAAAGCTCACAGGACTTATGGAACAACAACACAATAAAGAAAAAATAATAATAACCAAATAACAACCAGCATGATGAATGGAATAGTACCTTGTATATCATTATTAGCCCTGAATATAAATGATCTCAGAGCTCAAATAAAAGATACAGGCTGGTGGAAAGAATTAAAAAAAAACACACACACACAATCCAACTATCTGCTGCCTTCAAGAGACCCACTTGACTTACAAAGACTACCATAGACTTAAGGTAAAGGGATGGGAAACAATATCCCATGCAAATGGAAACCCAAAATGAGCTGGAGTAGCCATTCTCATATCAGATAGACAGACTTTAAATTAACAATAAAAATGATTGTTATATAATGATAAGAGGATCAATCCAACAAGAAGACATAACAATTATAAATATACATGAACCTGACTCCAGAGCCTTCAGCTTTATAGAACAAATCTACTGTACCTAAAACAAAAAGAGCTAGATAGCAATACAATAATCGTGGGAGGCTTCAACACTCCACTAGTAACAATAGACAGATCATCAAGGCAGAAAGTCAACAAAGAAATATTGGAGTTAGCCGGCTCAGTGGCTCAGCCTGTAATCCCGTGCTTTGGGAGGCTGAGGTGAGTGGATTGCCTGAGCCTGCGGGTTCAAGACCCACCTGGGCAATTTGTGAGACCTCATCTCTACAATAAATCAAAAAATCAGCCGGACGTGGTAGCATGTGCCTGTAATTCCGGCTACTCGGAAGGCTGGGGCGGAAGGATCGCCGTGGCCCAGCAGGTCAAGGCTGCAGTGGCTGGGAGCGGCCACTGAACTCCAGTCTGGGCGACAGAGTGAGACTCCAACGCAAAAAAAAAAAAAGAAAAAATATTGGAGTTAAACTGGACCCTAGAGCGAAAGGAACTAACAGACATCTACAGAAAATTCCCAAAACTAGAGAATATACATTTTACTCATCAGCACACGTAACATTCTCCAAGATAGACCATCTGATAGGACACAAATCTAGTTTCAATAACTTCCCAAAAAATCAAAATTATGTCAAGCACATTCTCAGAATACAGTGGAATAAAATTAGAATTAATTCTGAGAAGAACTCACAAAATCAAACAAAAACATGGAAGTTAAACAATCTTGTCCTGAATGATTTTGGGGTCGGCAATGAAATCAAGATGCAAATTAAACAATTTCTAAAAATAAATAACAACAGTAAAACAAACTGTCAAATCTCTGGAACACAGCCAAATCTGTGTGCAGAGGAAAATTTACAGCACTTTAAGTCTACATTAATAAGACTGAACAATTGCCCATTGACAACCTAATGCCACACCTCAAAGAGCTCAAAGGAAACAAACCCAAATCAAGTAGAAGAAAATAAATAAAGAAGACCAGAGCAGAACTAAATGAAATTGAAATAAAAAACAATACAAATTGAAATAAAAAGCAATACAAAGGATCAATGAAACAAAAAGTTTGTTCTTTGAAAAGATAAACAAAATTGAGAGACCGCTAGCTAGATTAATTAAGAAGCAAAGAGAGACGTTTCAAATTAGCTTAATCAGAAATGAAAATGAAGACATTACAACTGATATGATGGAAATAAAAAAGATAATCCTAGATTATTATGAACATCTCTATGCAAACAAACTAGACAATCTGGAAGAAATGGATAAATTCTTGTAAATATACTATTGTACTCCTAAAGCTATTGAAATAAAAAAACAAAAAGCACAATGGGTCTCTTTTCTGGCTGTGTCATTTTTTCAGTTCTCTCTGTTCCCACATCATTACCCAAACCAGTAATCTCCAACCATCTATTCTTCAATCTTAAAACTACTCTTTAGTTAAGTCCCTGGGCAAAATCTGTTTGTAAAGCATCATTATTTACATAAAATATCAACGATTTTATATGGTACAGGTAGATTTTTTTTTTTTACAATATGAATGATTATGACCAATTTTATTTTATTGTATGCTGCTTTAGTCAATATAGAGTACAATAAAGAAAATTCCATAAAGCATGCCATTAAACAGATAATGATTTGTTGTAAACTGATACCTTACCCTTTAAAAAAGTTGAATAAAGCTATTTGACACTTTATTTTGATTTGCCTGTGTCTTTCTGAACCTAATCTAAAATGATAAACATATATACATATAAACTTGCCTATATATAAGAGGTATGTGTGTCTATAAACAGTTGTGGTAATGCAAGAATAAATAAGAACATTTACTAAAATTAAAAAAGAAACAAACATAGCCTTTTAAAAAACATATCAATTTTTATCAAAATGTCATAGAATAAAGCAAAAGCAGAACTAGAAATATAAGCATGTTGCGTGCAGAAGGAGCTTTCATTTTTTTCTTTCTTATTCTTTATTCAACATCTTATGGAATCTAAACAGCATAATATTTTCCCTACAATAAACTATTATTTATTCTTTTATGAAAATAGAATACATCATTAAAATTACTTTTTAGGCTGGGCATGGTGGCTCACACCTGTTATCACAGCACATTGGGAGGCCGAGGCTAGATAATTGCTTGAGCCCAGGGGTTCAAGACCACCCTGGGCAACTTGGCGAGACTTTGTCTCTACAATAAATAAAAAAATTATCCGGGCATGGTGGCACACACCTGTAGTTCCAGGTGGAAGTATTGCCTGAGCCCAGCAGGTCAAATCTACAGTAGCTGTGAATGTGCCACTGCACTCCAGCTGAAGTGACAGAGTGAGTCTCTGACTCAAAAATACATAATTTCTTTTTAAATAATCACATACATTATCTGTGTTTATTGTCTAATAATTTTATTTAAATAAATTTGATAGAAATGGAATGATTTTGATAGTTCATTAATTGCTTTAAATGTTGTCTTTCTGTTTATGGAAGGTTTTTGCAGGTATTATAGATAAAATATTGAGCCTAGTATGGATTTTCATAGTTTTCTTTGTTTATTTCATGCTGCTGTAACAGAATACCACAGATTGGTTATTTTATAAACAATAGGAGTGTATTTGGCTCACAATTCTGGAGGCTAGAAAGTCCAAGATTGAGGGGCTACATCTGATAAAAGCCTTGTTGCTGTGTTATAACGTGGGGGAAGATATCACATGATGAGAGAGTGTTCAAGAGAGTGAAATGGATTAAACTCATCCTTTTATCAGCTACCTATTTTCACAATAACTGCATTAATTCATCCATGAAGGCAAAGCCCTCATGAACTAATCACTTCTTAAGTGGCCCACCTCTCAACACTGTTGCATTGGGGATTAAGTTTCCAACACATAAACATGAGGGATACATACCAATAATAATACATTTTATTATGAAGATAAGTGAATATGTGTGTGTCTTTGATTCTAAACTTGTTTATTTTCAAACCTAAATACTTAAAATAACTTTGATGAAAACTAGATTTATATGCACAGAGTGTAAATCATTAAAAGTTGGATGATTTTACCAATAACTTTATATTATACAGCAGTCAATTGTTAGAACTCTAAAAATTGTTTGCAAATTTAATAGAAATATTAGGATACAAAGATGTGTTTATTTCTGTTATGACAAACATAATTACATTATTCCTTTTTCTTTATATCTCTAGTAAAATTTTTTAATTCTTATAGTTGAGTTGGATTTAAATTAGATTTAATAAAATATATTTCTTTCTTTAGGAAAAAGTCAAAGAGAAGGAAGAAAATCTGAATCTTGTAAGCCAATTCTTAAAGTAGAGTACAAGACCTGCAGAAATAGGTATGTATTTTTTCTTTAGGGAATAAAAGGGATAAGAACCAGAGACAAGAAAAGGGAGTAATATTTAATGTTAATATATTGTTTAAATTTTTTAAAACTATATTTACTGACTGAATCTTCTACATTAATAACTAATTCTTGTTGACATATCTATGATTATTATTATGAAGATTACAGTGTGTTAATTATTTTAAAATTCTATTTTGTCACCTTTAAATTTTTTATTTTAAAATTGTGGGGTACAATTCAGGGCTAGGTATACAGGTATTCATTGTTCAGGTACCCTTGTTGATGAGGTATGCCCCCCCCTTCCCCAGGCAGTTTCCCACTACTGCCAATCCCACCTCCCCACTGCCCCACACCCCCATAGTTTCCTGCTACTGTCAATCCTTTCCTTATAGTATTACCATAGTTGTTCAAGGTCCACTTATAAGTAAAAACATGTGATACTCAGTTCTTTGTTTCTGTGAAAGATCACTCAGTGTTATAGACTCTAAGTCCATCCAGGTTGCTGCAAAGTTCATGATTTTGTTCTTTTTTACTGTGTATATGTACCACTTTTTTTTTTTTTAATCCAGTCCTCTTTTGATGGGCAGCATGGTTGTTTTCATGTTCTTGCTATTGTGAATAATGCTGTGATAAACATTGCAAGTATCTTTTTTATAGAGTGATTTGAGTTCTTCCGGGTATATTCCCAGTAGGGGGATTGCGGGGTCATATGGAAGGTCGATTTTTAGAACTTTTAGGAATCGCCATGCTGTTTTCTACAGAGGCTGTACCGGTTTACACTCCCTCCAACAGTGTAGAAATGTTCCCTTTCACCACATCCTCTCCAGCATCTGTTATTTTTTGAGTTATTGTTGATGGCCATTCTGACTGGAGTTAGGTAGTATCTCAGTGTAGTTTTAATTTGCATTTCTTTGATGACTAGTGAGGCTGAGCATTTTTTCATGTATCTGTTGGCTGCTCGTATGTCTTCTTTTAAGAACTGTCTATTCATGTATTTTGCCCACTTTGTTAAGGGGCTGTTTGTTTTTTTCTTTTCAGTATGTTTGAGTTCCTTGTAGATCTTAGATGATAGGCCTTCATCAGACATAGAGTTGGCAAACGTTTTTTTCCCAGTCTGTGGGCTGTCTCTCTGCTCTCTTGATGGTTTCTTTGGCTTTGCAGAAGTTTGTCAGTTTGATAAGGTCCCACTTGTCTATCTTATCTCTTATGGCATGGGCACTTGGGGTTTTGATCAGGAATTGGTTACCAGTTCCAATTTCCATAAGAGTGTCTCCTGCATTTTTTAAGGTCCTTATAGTTTGATATTTTATGTTTAGGTCTCTGATCCATTTCGAGTTGATTTTTGTCTATGGGGATAGGTAGGGGTCTTGTTTCAACCTTCTGCATGTAGTCAGCCAGTTTTCCCAGCATCATTTACTGAATAGGTTCTCGTTTCCCCAGTGATTGGTGGTGAAGGCTTTGTTGAAGATTAGTTGGTTGAGAAATTAAGTGTTTGCTTCTGAAATGTCAATTCTATTCCATTGGTCTCTATGCCTGTTCTTGTACCAATATCAGGCTGTTTTGATTATTGTAGCTTTATAATAAAGTTTAAAGTCTGGGAGTGTGATACCTCCTGCTTTGTTTTTTGTTTTTTTCTTCTGAGAATTGTTTTGGCTTTTTGTGGTCATTTATGTTTCCATATGAATTCCTGCATTCTTGTTTCTAGGTCTGAGAAGAATGTTGCTGGTAATTTGATGGATATTGCGTTAAATCTGTAGATCGCCTTAGATAGAATGGACATCTTAACAATGTTGATTCTTCCAATCCATGAGCATGGACTATTTTTAAATACTTAATGAGTTTTGAGATGAGTATTATATACATTAATTTAAACAAAAGAGGACTTTTGAGTCATGTACATTACAAGCAGCAGAATGTATTAAGCAGAAGATATGTGCCTAGTGGTATTTTGTATGAAATAATTACATACATAACCAAGTTTCTGTACTTTAGGATCTAACATTCTAAATCTGGAAAGATTACAGTTAATTGGAAAGATAAAGTTATATATTGGTAAAATTTAAAAATGATAAATTTTAAAGATACAGAAAATTAAATAAAAGAATAATACTTATAAAATATTATGTTGTATATAGAGTAGCCATATCCTCTATATCAACAATGTTCCTCTACTTGACTTTATTAGTGGCAATACTTTCATCTAGGATTACCATAATAAATCTTACCTAAACAATAAATTTTTTTTTCATTCTAAATTGGATAATCCCACTTATATTAGTTATATGCTCATATGAGAATATTTTCTTGGTATCATAGGTATATTTAATGTTTGTTTATGCCTGCTTTTCAAAAGTTTTAATAGTATATAATTATGGTAATTTTTATCTTGTTTATATATATATATGTATATATATATATATCAGTTTATCTTTGGCATAGCCTAATGTTACTATGCATTAACTGTTAAAAAATGATCACAGTTTTATTCCATTATAACTAAAGTATTAAATGTTTCTAATTTAATCATTATGAATGGAAATATGAACTATATTTTTTCTTAAAACATTAAAAAAATTATTTTATTTTTTATTTTAGAATTGTGGGGTACATGTGAAGATTTAGTAAATAAGTTGATTGCATGAAGGTGAGGTGTGGGCTTCTAGCTAGCTCTGTTCCCTGCATTAGTGGACATGGTACCCAATGGGTAGTTGCATACTCCTTTTTTGCTCTCCCTCTCTCCCTCCTTTAGCCATGCCCAACATCTGTTATTCCCCCCTTTGTGCCCACATGCCCAATGTTTAGTGCCCACTTATGAGTGAAAACATGAAGTATTCAGTTTTTTGTTTTTGTGATAGTTCACTTAGAATATGGTCTCCAACTGAATTCATGTTGCTACAAAGGATACGATTTTGATCTTTATAGCTGCATAGTATTTCATAATGTATATGCACCACATTTTCTTTATCCAGTCCACTTTTGATGAGCATCTGGGTTGGGTTCACATTTTTGCTATGGTAAATAGTACTGCAAAGAGCATATGTGTGTAGATGCCTTTTTGGCTTAGTGATTTATGTTCTTCTGAGAATATTCCCAGGAGTGAGGTTTCTGGATCAAATGTTAGCTCAATTTTTAGTTATTTGAGAAGTCACCATAGTGCTTTTCACAACATTCCCACAAACAGTGTAGAAGCATTTTCTTTTTCTGTAGCCTTGCTAACACCTTTTGTTTTTTGACTTTTTAATGATGGTCATTTGACCAGTGTGATATGGCATCTCATCTTAGTTTTGATTTGCATTTCTCTGGTGATTAGTGAAGCTGAGATTTTTTTTCATGTTTGTTAGCTGCTTGGATGTCCTCCTTTGAGAAGTGTCTGTTCATGTTTTTTGCCCACTTTGTAATGTTTTTTTAAAAATTTCCTGTCAATTCCTTTGACCTCTTTTAGATTGTAGATGCTAGGCCTTTGTCAGATGTATAGCTTGCAAATAATTTTTTCCCCTATTCTATGGGTCATTTCTTTACTCTCTTGATGGTTTCTTTTGCTGTGCAACTTTTTAACTTGACAAAGTCCAACCAAAAGCTTTTGTTGCATTTGCTTTTGAAGACTTGGCCATGAATTCATTGCCTAGGTCAATATTCCCTAAGTTTTCTTTTAAGATTCTTATAGTTTGTAGTTTCACATTTAAGTCCTTAATCCATTTTGAGTAAACTTTTTATGTGGTGATAGGTAGGGGTCCAGTTCCATTTTTCTGCTCATGGTTATCCAGTTTTCCCACACCATTTGCTAAATATGGTTCCCCAATGTTTGTTTTCATCAACTTTGTTAAAGATGAGTTGGTTGAAGGTTTGTGATTTTATTTCCAGGTTTTCTGTTTTGTTCCATTGGTCTATGTGCTTATTTTTTATAACAGTAGCTGTCTTGTTTACTGTAGCCTCGTAGTAAAGTTTGAAGTCTGGGTGTGTGATTCCTCCAGCTTTGTTCTTTTTGCTGAAGATTGCTTCAGCTATTTGGGCTCTTTTTTGCTTCCATATGAATTTTTGTGTTATCTTTTCTAGGTCTGTGAAAAATTATGGTAATGGTTTAATAGAGATTGCATTGAATATGTAGGTTGCCTTGGGTAGAATGGACATCTTAAAGATGTTGATTCTTCAAATCCCTGAGCATGAAGTGTTCTTCCATTTGTTTGTGTCACCTTTGATTTCTTTGAGCAGTGTTTTGTAGTTCTCATTGTAAACGTCTTTCACCTCTTTGATAAGAGGACTCTGAGTTTGTGTGTGTGTGGCTACTGTGAAAGGGATTGTGTTTTTATGTGGTTATCTGCCTGCTTGTTGTTGGTGTATAGTAATGTAACTAGTTTTAGCACATTGATTTTACATCCCAAGACTTTACCAAAGTTGTTTATCAATGTGAGGAGGTTTTGGCATATTCTCTAGGATATTCTAGGTATAGAATCATATCATCTGCAAAGAAGAATGATTTAACTTCCTCTTTCCTATGTGGATACCTCTAGTTTCTTTCTCTTGCCTGACTATTCTGGCTAGGACTTCCAGTACTATGTTAAATTAGAGGATTGAGAGTAGGAATAATTGTCTTGTTCCAGTTCTTAAGGGGAATGCTTCCGCTTCTGCCCATTAAGCATGGTGTTAACTGAAGTTTTGTCCTAGATAGTTCTTATTATTTTGAGGAAAGTTTCTTTGATGCCTAGGTGTTTGAGGGTGTTTATCAAGAAAGGATGTTGGATTAGAGCAAATGCTTTTTCTATGTCTATTGAGATTATTGTGTGGTTCTTGGTTTTACACTTCTTTGTGTGGAGGATTACATTTATTGATTTGCATATGCTAAACCAGTCTTGCATTCCAGGAATGAAGCCCACATGGTCATGGTGGATTATCCTTGCAATGTACTGTTGGTTATGAATTTGCTAGAATGTTGTTGAAAATTTTTGCATCTATTGTCATCAGAGAAATCGGCCTGAAGTTTTCTTTTCTTGTTG